CCCCACCCCTGCCCCGCACCTCCACCCCCGCCCTGCCCTGCCCTCTGCCGTCCTCAGGTCCTCAGACTACTTTGAGACATGTGCACATGTCTAAAATCACCATGGTCAGAACAGTAAGATGTGTTCTCTGGCATTGTTGTCTCACTTTGCTTTTTTATTTTTGACATTAAAAAATTGTAACAGTCACACAAATAATTTCCACACCCCTTTCACATTTCCCAGTGTTACATTCTGGCTTCATTCTGGTGTGTGTGTGTGTGGGGGGTTGTCTCTGTGTCCCTGTGTGACTTTCTTCCATGTGTGTGCAGGGCCAGATGAGGGTGTTGGCTCCCCCTGGAGCTGGAATTACAGGTAGTTATGAGCTGCCCTGCCTGAGTTCTAGGAACTGAACTCTGGTCCTCTGTAAGAACAGTATGAACAGCATGGTGGCACAAACCTTTAATCTGATAGAGGCAGGGAGTCTAGCCTGGTCTACGTAGTGAGTTCCAGGCCATCCAGGGCTATAATCAGACCTTTGTCTTAAAAGAGCAGTGCTCATTCTGGAGACAACTTTGCTCTCTACAAGCTGGCTTTAATCACAATTTTAGATTTATCTCCAGGTATGACAATGGCAGCAGGTTCGGTTCATTCATTCACAATGTTTTCTAATTTCTTAAGTGGTTTCTTCTTCAATCCACAGGCTACATAGAAGGCTATGATGTTGTTTCAAATAATTTGATAGATTTGTAGTTTCCTCCCTTTCTGGATTTCTCTGTGTGGGTAATTTTCCCCTGCCTGAACACCTGACTTTAGTCTGTTTTGTTAGACCCCCGGAAAACTCAGGTATCCGGGGTCCCAGGCCACGACCACGGTCACCCCAATCACCAGGCGGATTCGAGAGCTTGATGAAAACTGCATGAGGCTTTATTATAGTCGTTTAACGAGCTAACCCCATGTTAGCTCGGGTCTTTCACCCACCCACCATGGTGGATGGCTAGCAAAGATAGCTCGAACCGCTGCAGAGACAGATCTTGTAGGGCAGCATAAGGGGAATGTCTAGTGGTACCCACAGGCTCAGGATTGGTGTGGTTGTTATGGCCCATAGGCCCTCCCAGGGTGGTTGCTATGCTCTGCGTCATTGCTGTGCGCTTGCCCATAAAGTACACCCAGGATCGTAAAGCATAGCGCCACCAGCTAACTTCTGATTGGTTCCTTGTCACGAGGCAGGCATGTGACCTCTAAGTGCCCAAGGCAAGGTTATGGCAAGTACGTGTTCGGCTGTTATGGCTGCCGAAAGGGGAGCTGGTCCCTTTAGTTTCTGAGTTCACATCTGCTGATGAAGAGCTGTTTGCGAAGATGTCTTTGTCTTCCATTTTGAAGAACTGGATGGAGCTGAGATTTTGAGAAAGCAGGCTGAGGAGCTCCCTGATAAATCCCTTGGGGGTTATGCTTGGGTGATGTTGCTGTGGGTGTGGGGACCACTAAGAATACAGGTCTCTTGAATTACATCAGGAAGGCTGACCAGGCTCTGGCCCTGACCTGAATGCCTTTGCACAAGGATTTGGGGTCTGCTCCCAGGACAGATGCAAGAAGGTCATAAGAACCTCAGGACATGGCTGCAATAAAGAGCTGTACAGCTTGTCCCAGGGTTTGAGTGTCTGGGAACTACTGTTATTTGGATGGCTGGGATGGGTTATGGGAGAGAGTTGGCCTTGCCTAGTGGCCCAGGAGCTGTCTCTGGTTTCCACATAGGATCATTCCCTGGTCCGGCTGGAGGAAGAACTCCAGCGCCTTTCAGTGCTGGAGACCCAGATGCAGAAGAAAGACCAGGAGATCTTGTCGCTCCAGAAGGAGAAGGAGGCCCTGAAGAAGCAGCTGAAAATCCTTCTCAGAAGCAAAGGCACAGAAGCATCATCAGCTTCCATCAGGACGGTGAGCCTTCTGCCTGGCAGGAGGCGTCTGGGAGCACTGAGGTGTCCCCAGGAGCTGTGGGCAAGGCTGGCAAAGGGCTGAGTGAGGTGGGTCTGTGTGACCAGGAGGAATGGTCCCCTGACTGGCCCAAGACTCGATGCCTTTCATACTTGATGACAGCCTGCCCTTATGTTGGGGCAGACACCAAGCGGGAGCAGGGAGGAGACTGGAGGTCATGGGTAGTGCCTGGGTACCTTGGGAGAAGCTGCCCACACAGATGCCTGAGGCAGAACAAATGGGACTTCTGCTCCCCCATTTCCCCCAAGGGCTCTTATGCAGGCATGAGAGGACATGGCAGCCAGGTGAAGCACAAATGAGCGTGATCACTGGTGCCAAGTATTTGCTGGAAGCTGTTCTGGTGGGGCCCAGAGCCCTGTTGTCCCCCAGGACTGCTCGTCTGCTCCCCATTGCCTTGTTCTGCTCGATGGTACTGCTTCCTCGCCCTCTGCTGTGGTTACCCATGTGTGCTTGGAGAACCCGCTGTCCCCTTCCTGGAGGATGGGGAGGGGGGTCAATTCAGGGAGCCCGAGGTTCATCGCAGCATCCAACAGGAACGGTCCTTTGAGGCTGCACTGAAGCTGGGGAGGCTGAGCATGCTGAGGCCGGTGTACAGGGAAGACGAGGAGCTCCAGCACTGGATGCAGGTGTGGGTCCAGGTCCAGGGCTGTCACCCCTCAGAGCCCGCTGGGGAGGGCGGGAGGCTCCAGGGCTGTCACCCCTCAGAGCTGCTGGGGAGGGCGGGAGGCCCCAGGGGCTGTCACCCCTCAGAGCCTGCTGAGGAGGGCGGGAGGCCCCGGCCACAGTGTTCCTGCCCACACGCTCCTGATCTGTTGTCGCTCTCCCTAGTCCCAGATGGTTAGGCTCTTTCCCTCTCCCCACCGAGAGCACAGGTCCTGAGAGAAGACAAATGAACCGGGCTGCTTACCAGCGTTGGTGCCTCTCCCTTGTACCTGGGGTGTTGATGTCAGCGCCAAGCCCCTTTTCTCTCTGTCCCCAGATGCAGGAAGACTATAACGTGGTAGAGAACAGGGAGCGGCCGATGGAAGCAGGAAGTATCACAGAGGAAAAGGGCTCTGAGGGGCCCCCGGAGGAGGCTGCCAAACCTAGGAGCCTAGGGTCCCTCTCCACCAGGAGCATTGTCAAGGGAGGGACTTTGCACGAAGAGGGCCCTGAGGAGGAGGAGGAAGAGGAGTTGAAAGGGGCCGAGGAAGAGGAGGAGGTGGTGATAGGGGAGGAAGAATTGTGGGAGCTGAAGGAGGAGGAGGAGGAGGAGCAGCGCCCCAGGAAGTCATACTCTATTACTGAGTCCTTTGAGGAGGAGTTGATGGCCCAGCTGGAGGAGTATGAGCGTATGTTGATGGACTTACAGAGTGAGCTGGAACTCACCAGAGCCAAATATTCCCTGGCCACAGGTAGGAAGGGCCGGGGCTGATGCCATGGGGTGTGGGTGTGCAGCTCTGCGGGCTCTACCCAGTGGGCAGGGGGGGCAGGAGGGGCAGGAGGGGCAGGAGGGGCAGGAAATGTGGATCCCTCTCCACCAGGAGTTATACCAGGAAGGGTGACTGGGCATTCAGATGAGCAACTAGACCCTGGGCTAACAGCTGGTCCTCACTCTCTCGCTCTGCCGCTCTCCTGCCTTACCCTTAGGAGCCATCACATCTTTACAACGGCAAACCAACTTCCAAGAGTCTCAGCTGCGAAAGGTCACCACGGAAAATGAGCGGCTGGAAAAGGAACTCCGTGAACGAAAGCAGCAGATACAGACCATGACCAACAAGGTGACTGTGCACTCAGCAGCCCCCGCTAGCCTGGCTCAGCGAGCAAAGCCAGCAGGGCCCAGTAGCCCCAGCAGCTCAGGGAGCATGGCCTTCCCTAGGAACAAAGGTTCCAAGCCCAGGGCACCAGCTGATGGCAGCAGAGCCAAGATTCCTACCAGACTTTGTGGATAGCCCCGGCCCGGCTGTCCTTTGCTCTGTGTCCCTGATGTCTTGTGCAGCGTAACCCTGGTCATTTCCCAAACGTTTGCCAGTCCCTGATCCCTGGACTAAGTTTATCTACATTCGCAGTATGCTTAGCACTGGGTTTACTCACGCTCCTGTTAACAAATGCCCGAGACAGAAAGGTTTATTTTTATCCAAGCTACTCCACAATTGCCTCCGGCTCATATCCCCCATCCCGTGGCAATGGCTTCCAAGTCTCCTGGCAAATTCTTCAGGAAATGCCATTATAGCATCAGATCATGCTCTTTGTAGAGTCAACACCATCGTGATGTCATCAAGTGACTTCCTCTTCCCTCAGGTCCTCATCTGCCATCCAACAGGGCAGGCGCTATCTCCCCGTCCTTTGCCCCCCAATATCATCCTATCCCAGTTCCAGTGGCATCAACCCTGTGCTGACGTCATTCCCGCAGTTACGAGAAACACATAAGAGTTCACTAGACAACGTTGTCGGGACTCTTGTCATGAACTTGAACTTCTGCATCTAGGTCCTTCTGTTTGTTGACTGACACCCTTATGTTTTTTTTTTTTCTTAAGGGTACAAACAGTTATTTTTAAATTATTTATTTTTATTTTTTGTATGCATTGGTATTTTGCCTGCATGTATATCTGCCTGAGGGTGTCAGATCTTGGAGTTAGACAGTTGTGAGCTCCATGTGGGTGCTGGGAACTGAACCTGGGTCCTTTGGAAGACAGCTAATGCTCATAACCACTGAGCCATCTCTCCATCCCTGATGGCCTTATGTTTTTATGTAGCATATTTCTTGGGCTTTTTTTTTTTTCAGAAAGGATATGTCTGTAAAACTTTGGGAATACAAGCTACCTGCAAACGCCTTGATCCTACACATTAATAACAATCAGGCTGACCTGAGAGAAAGCAACTTAGGGGACAAAAGGTTCATTTCAGCTCACAGTTCCAGGCCATAGTCCGTCACGGCAGTGAAGTCAAGGCAGGAGCCAGAAGCAGCTAAAATCCACAGTCGAGGAGAGAGAAGGAATGCCTGTATGCTTAATGCTTGGATAACCTTGTTGGCTCCCATACAGTCTCAGACCGCAGTCAGGGAATGTTGCTGCCCACTTTCAGACTTAGCCCTCCCATATCAATAATCGATCAAGACAGTCCCTCCTCCCCACAGACCAACACGACCCAGACAATCCTTCGAGAGCCTCTTCTCACATGTGGGTTGTCAGGTTGACAGTTAAGTGAACCACCACATTCTTTTCTAGATTATCCTGCTTTTTAAATTTATGTGTATGAGTGCAGGTGCCCACAAAGACCAGGAGAGGCTGTTGGAGAGCCTGGCTGCTGGAGCCAGCTGCTTGACATGGTGCTGGGAACCAAACCCTGGCCACCTGCAAAGGCAGCCAGTGCCCTTAGCCACCCAGTCCATCGCTCCAGCCTAAACAATCGCATTCTTCCTTTCTGACTTCTCTCATGGAGCTCCGGGAACTTGGACTGGCCCTCTGGCTGCCTGCCCTTCTTCTTACTTTCTGTCTCCTCATCGCTGAGGTTTCCTCAGACCTATCAGCAGCGGGAGTTTCTGTTACAATGTTTTAAATGTCCATCTATGCTCCGACGGCTCATTTTCTTCTTTTTCCAGTGCCACCCCTATCTATTTCACAAGAGCACTCGCCTCTCTTCTTGCAAAGGCAGCATTAATTGGAGCTTGTTATTGTCTGTGAAAAGGTCTAGATCAGAACCCCAGGCTGGCTGGTATCCATGGCATCCTCCTGCCTCTGCCTCCTTCCCTGGGATCACAGTGTCATTGCCACTTCAATGTCTTGCTCTTCCATTTCGGATGAGCTTGGTCTCTATTGATTCTTGTTAAACTTGTTGCCCCAGGGCTGCCTGGACCCCTTGAGTATGAAGGTGACTACACTGTGATCCCCAGCAGGCCCCCTGGAGAGTTTCTACAGAAATCTCCTCTGGTCTTTGGGTTGCTCAAGTCTCCTTGAAAGCTAGGAGATGGAAAACACATCTCGGCTAATGAGCAAAGGTTTCTTGCTCCAGTTCTGGGCCTGGAAGGCAGAAGGCTGAGAGTATCTACACATGGCACACAGAGGAGGGTGGCTTCTTCAGGCCTGAAACTGGCCAGTCTTCACCAGTATTGATAACGGTCAGGTAGCTGGCAGGCCAGGGCCTGGGATGAGTCCATGGCCCTTACTCTCAGTAACAGCTGGCCACTGACCACTCTTTTTCTATGACTCTTCTAGGAAACAGAGTGAGAACTGTGCTGTCTTTGGGTTCCCTGCAAACAGCTTAGCATTTGGCTTTCTTGGATCTGCAATGTTGGATGCTATCCAATGCTCTGCTTCTGTGTCCTTGGGGCCCTTTCTCTTCTTCCCATTGTCTCTGGTAGAAACCTACAACTTTCCTTCTCCTGGGAGGGCTAGAAGGCAGAACAGGCATTGGTACTCCGTCTGTCCCAGGCCTGGGACCTATGCTGACACCCCCACCCCACTCACAACCCCCTACCCCCTCTGTCTGCCCTACAGTTCTCCAACCTCCGGGAGGAAAAGAAACAGCAGGGGATAATGGGACTCATTGAGAAGGAAAATCTTGCTCTCCGACAGGTGATGGCATGGGCATTGCTGAAGGCTGGGCTGGGTTACCATCCTGGTGGGCTGGGATACCATGATGGACAGATAAGGCATCTTCACATTTGAGTTGGGCCTCTTACCCCAGACAGCAAACCCGCTCAACAAACCCACACTGGGGTCCTCTGGCAATGGCTTGGCTGGGTGGCAGGAACACAGGGTGCACTGCCTCCATCTTTTAGGAAGAGTGGTAAGGACCACACAGGAGCAGCTCCAGCCACACGGCTAATGCTCTGCCTTTCCTGGTTCCCCCAGCAAGTATCTGACTTGGAGACAGAGCTCCTCAAGCGTGATCAGACCATCACAGAGCTGCACACCAAAACTAGTGAGCTGCAGGCTCATGTGGACCTGAATGAAGACCACCTAAGGCGTTGGAAGAATCTGCATGATGACCTCCAGAGACGGAACGAGACAATCCAGCAAGCAGAGCAACAGACTCGTGTGGTCCTGGAGTCCTGTCAGGCCAGGGTAATGCCCACTGTTGCCCCCCACACACACACACACACTGAGAGTTCAAGTTCATGACTTTGACCACTGCCCACCCACACGGACCATGTGCCCAGAAGACCAGGGCTCTGGCTCATTCTGCCTCAGGTTGCAACACGCAGTCTAGAGCTGATGCTTGGAGAGTGGTGGAGGAGGGAGTGAGGCTCATGGAACATTCTGGAAACACAGAGGGCAAGGGTCAGCATTGTTTATCCAGAACGCGGGCCTTGGGTTCAGCTAGAAAAAAAAAAAGGCAGGAGGGAGGGTGATGGTGTTCATGTCTGCCCCACCCGCAATTCATCCCAAAACTTTCTCCTGCTCCCCGCAGGGTATCTCGTTCCTGCTTTAAGCCCTCTTGTCTTTTCTAAATTGATTTTTTTAATAACCCACTGGGTCCAATTAATGCTGCCCATATGTGAATGGCTGAGGAGTCACACACTGCAGGGGGGGAGGGTGTGTGTGTGAACAACTAGTCAGTGTCACCACTCGAAGAAAACTGACTCCTACCCCAGTAGTCACTAACTGCCAATAGTTCCTCAGCCAGGAGTGGGACCTTGGGAGCCCATTCCCCCCCACGCTGGGATTAAAGAAAACCATCATGTGTATGTGTGTGGCTGCCAGTGCATGTAAAAACATGTATGTGTGAGGCTGCCAGTGCATGTAAACACACGTGTGTGTGTGGCTGCCAGTGCATGTAAAAACATGTATGTGTGAGGCTGCCAGTGCATGTAAACACACGTGTGTGTGGGGCTGCCGGTGCATGTAAACACACGAATGTGTGTGACTGCCAGTACATGTAAACACATGTGTGTGTGTGGGTGCCAGTGCATGTAAACACACGTATGTGTGTGGCGGTGCATGTAAACACACGAATGTGTGTGACTGCCAGTACATGTAAACACACGTGTGTGTGTGGGTGCCAGTGCATGTAAACACATGTGTGTGTGTGGCTGCCAGTGCATGTAAACACATGTGTGTGTGTGGCTGCCAGTGTGTGAGCACAGATGCCTATAGGGCCTAGAAACTTCAGATCCCTGTGGAGCCTGAGCTACAGGGAGATGCAAACACCCCATGTGGGTGCTAAGAGCTATGTAACCTATGGTAGTCCTCTGCAAGAGCAGCAAGTGCTCTTAACCACGGAGCCATCTCTCCAACCCTGTACTGATATTTTCCCTGAGCTGGGAATATATCTCAGTGCAGGAGCGCTTCCTAGCATATGAGAGTCCCTCGTGTCAACTCCCAGGACTTGTGGTGGGGAAGTGTGCTTTTCTGGTTTCAGAACATAAAAATAAGCGTTTTGGTCAATGCCAAAGCTTCTGCACTTCAGTGTGGGGCCACCCAGGAACTGGAGTCTGATCCAGAACATTCTAGCTCTTAGGCAAGTCCTGTTTCCAGCCATGACAAGCAGGAGCAAGAAATACCTTCCTGGCCTGCAGGGCTTACAGTGGCAGGGCCAGGCATCATTCCCGGTAACAGTGGGCGATGGCTCTCACCTTTGTTCACAGCTTGAGAGACTAAGGAATAAGATCATCCAGGCCGTCTTCAGCGCCAGTGGGACCAAGAACTTGTCCACTGAGCTCTCTGACAGCTACATCCTGGAGTCCCTGCAGGTGAGGGGACCCAAGCTGTATCCCCACTGCCCACTCCCCACTGCCCACTGCCCGAGGCTGAAGGGAGACGGGGACCCAAGCTGTGTCTCCACTGCTTACAGCCAGAGGCTGAGGGAGTAGGGAAGGCCTGGGCTCAGTTCAGAAACCCAGTTCTCACCCCAGCTTTGCCACCCATGCATTGTAACTCCAGGACTGTCCTTTATCCCTGCTCAACCAGAAGGGACCAGACCATTCCTGGGAATAGCTCTATCATGCTCTCAGTCTCATGGAGGAGGGGCACTCAGTTGCCCCTAACACTCATCCCTGCCCAGGGAGAGGGACAAGCTACCTGCATTCTGAGAGTTCTCTGCCCAGCTCAGCTCCCTTGGTAGAGCACCCTCCACCTCCATAGAAGCTGCTAGGCCAGAGTCCTGGCAACAGAGTTCTCCCTCCTGCCCTCAACCTTGCCAACTGCTATGGACCTAGAGTCCCCCAAAGCAGAAGCTTTAGAGGGACCTGGGGGTGCAGGCTTTGGTGCCTGTGACCTGGAGCAGTCACCACTTACCAGTCCTCGATGCTAATCCTAGCTGCCTAGCTGCTTTGTGTTTTCCTCAATTGTAGGATCTTCCCTTTGTAAGGAGGATGAACATGCCTACCCTGCAGGTCTAGGGGGCACCAGAGTCCTGGGCATCGCTGAGGTAGCAGGCTGCTCTGGTTGGGGTCATGTGCCACACAGGATCACATCTCATTAGCAGCCACTCTGTTCCCAAGGTCTAGCAATGTATTCTGTTGCATTGCCCAGTGAACCCAACATGCCTGTGTTTCCCTGTGGCTTGTGGGGAGGGAGCCTGGGTCACTGCCACCTCTGGAGAGGCAGTGTGTCTGGCACCTATGGCCTTGTGTCTGCTTGTGGGGAGGGAAGAGGGACAGAAGGACAGAGAAGATGCCCAAGGCCCCGTGCCTCTGCTAGGAGTGAGAACAGGGTTAGGGCTGGGGAAGGATTGGGTGGGCCCTTCTGCACAAGATGAAACAGATAGCTCCTGGTATCTAGGCATCTAAGGTCCCCTTCAATGAAGGCTGGCTGTGAGCTGGACTCCTGGGACAAGTGCATAGTCTCTTTCCCCTGTGCCTCCTGGGACGTCCTTTCTATAGTCCCACCACAGCCCCAGCAGGGACACCACACTGCAGATGCAGAGTTTTTTGGGTTGCACTTGCCCACTGCTGCAAGTCCTGGGTGGGTGGTGGGAGACCAAGGTGCGGAGCTGGAGGTCACCCATTGACTGTTTCTTGTCCAGAGAATCATCACAGAGAGAAGTGACTTCTATGGTCAGCTGAAACAGAAAGGCGTAAAGGTGCCCCCGCTGCAACAGTCAGACATCTCCCTGCCCACCAAGATCAAGAAGTTATCTCCCAAATAGACCTGGCTGGGATCCCCAGGATGTGTCCTACTGGCCAGAAGCCAGGACCTTTGTGACTTGCTCTGTGTTAAAAAAAAAGAAAAAAAGAAAGAAAGAAAGAAAAAGAAATTAAACCTTAGAGTTGGCCACTGCCTCACCTTCTTCTCTGGTACCTACAGAACCTAATTAATCTTTTGCACGCGAACTACCTGGGCCATGTCCCATGCCACAGCTCCCTTTCCAGGGCCACAGCCCGTTTGTGGGGGACGTCCACACCTCCAGGGCGCTCTTCCAGGCTTCACTTTGCAGAGGTCCAGAGACTGTCACCCTCCCCCTTCAGACCCAGCACTTGCGCCCGGGCCATGCTCTTGCTACTGGGGTCGCTTTGGAAGGCGGAGGAAGAGTGGGATGGGGTAGGTGGTGTAGGTGCTGAGGACAGCGCTTCCCAACCCACGGCCTCCTGGTGTCTGTGGTCAGTGTGTTTTGACTGACAAAGTCTGTGCCACGTACCCTGCTGAATACAAAGCTCATCCTCCCGCGGCTCTTTACTGTCACGTCTGGTGCATGCACTCTTCTGATCCTGCAGCCGCCCGCCCGCCCGTGCCCCGGGCGCCACCAGTGCGGGAACACCACCATCTCTGCCCTCCCTCTGGGGAGAAGGCCTGGATTCTGCGAGGCTGGGCAAGGACCAGGCGCCCTCTGCAGGCCTCTCCCGTGGCCCGCTCGGTTCTGCGGCTCCGGCAGCCAGAGGGGGTCCGCCCCTCCCCGTCGGTACCAGACTTCCCGGCCCACTGCCCCTTCCCAGCCTGGCCTCCCTCATCTCAGCCCCGCCCTCCAGACCCCGCCCCCAGCCGCGGGCCCCGCCCCCGTCACCCCCGGGGCTGGAGACGCGCGTCCCGGGCGTGCGCGGCGGCCCTGTTGAGGGGCGCAGGTGAGACGCACTCAGTGTAGACTGCAGCCCAGGGAGGTGGGCCTCGCAGAACGCCCCCACCACTCCCGTGTCCTCCGGGGCTAGAGCTTCCCTGGCCCTAAAATTCGGGAGTGGGAAGGGCTAGCTAGGCCTAACTCCCGAGGGCTGTGAGGCCCGGAACTGCCGGCCCAGCTCCTGTCGGGACCCGGGAACATCCTTGGGGGCCAGTCTCTTCCTTTCCTCTAGCTATCTGTTTCTCTCCCCATCTTTGTTGCTTTCTTCTTTAAGGCTCGAGGCACCAACCCTACCTCACATCCTGGCTCACCCTGCTGGGGGAAGGTGGGACCCCCCTGACCAGACCCTGACAGCCTTCCTGGCACCAGAGGCTTCAGCCCCCGCCACGACTCGCCTTTGTAAGTTGGGGTCGCAGAGGTCCTCTGTGGGCAAACGGGACTAATGAGCAACCGCATGCTGGACTCCTATGTGCACACCCCTTCAGGGGAGGCTCTGGGTTTGAAGGGGCCTTGTAGGCCCTTCCTACTGTGCCTATGACGGTTGTACAACTCAAGGTGCACGAAGCCCAGGAGCGCCTGGGACCAAAGAACTCATTGCTTTCTGGTGGCCTGTCCAGCCACAGATGATTGGCAGATAACAGGATCCCACTACCTCAGGCTCGAACAAACTGGGGAGGCCCTCATACCCCAAATTCTACATGTGGGCGGGTTTGATACAGATTTAAAGACAGCCCTGTTAGGGCTAGTGTTGCATGGGTGTCTAAACTGTATGTGTGGTGTGGCAGCTCTCTAGCCGTCACATAAGCAGGAAAGAGGTGGCTACTCTTCATTCTGAAAGTTTGCTCCCTCTCCCTGCATCCCACCCCACTCAGCACTCTGCCCGAAGCTGGTGACATGGCAAAGGAGGGATTGGAATATTAAACTCATCTCAGCGTGGCTGCCACCTGGGGCCACCTAGAGGAAGGGGTTGAACCTTGTGCCTGTAGCTGGCATGCTCTTTCTGATGCACTCAGCAAACAGAACCCATACTCCGGCAACACTTGTCACTTCAGGCTGTCAGCCAGAGGCCCCACCTGAAGACACTTGTGGCTGTTAGGATAGCGCCTTCTTCCACCCTTCGCCCAGCAGTCTGGCATTCTGAGCTTCTGCAGGTTCTCTGCGGCCCACAGGCTGATTGTGCCTTTAGGTCACCGTGTACAGTTACCCAGGATGCCCTGCATTCCCACTGCCTCAGCTGCTGCGAGACAGTGTCCTGGAGCTGGGTGCCGTGAGGGGACACTCGGATGCTTGGTACTCAGGAGACCTAACCTTCTTATCTCACAGCCTGTACTTCTGGTGTGTGCCCTGCTCCCCTTAGGTAAACAAGAGGTAACAGAAGAGGTCAGAGGGTAAGTGAGGTTAGTCAAGTGTCCAGTGCCAGCCTGTGGGTAGGCAGGAGCGACCATGCATGGCAACACTGTCACTGTGACTCCTCCCAACCCACTGTCTGTTCAGGGGGTGGCTGGCCCTGAGGGAGTCAGGGATGGATTGGTGATAGGCACCTTCCTGCTCTAGGCACTCAAGTGGCCCTACTTCCTGCTAACCTACTATCTGCAGCCTTCTGGAGCCCCTTGGGTCCCCCAGAAGCTCTGCTTGACGACTCTCAGGGACAGCAGGTGGAGGAGGGGCTGAGGACAGCTGCTGCTGGGCAGCTCTCTGGCTGGCTGGACTGGCGATACCAGCCACCATACCGTCCTCGGTTCTTCCCTTTTCCTGCCAGCCTCTCCAGAGGGCAGCAGCTCCAGGCCTTATCGCCTGGGCCGGGGAGGAAGACAGTTATCAGGTCCTTGGCAGTTACACGTTCCTGGTCTCTGAGGGCAGCACTGGCTGCCCCCCCTGATAAGTGTCCTGCGAGGGAGGAGGGCCTCTCACCCCTCAGAAGAGGCCCCAGTTGAAAAAGCAGTGGCTTACATTCCTGAGGGTCAGGGCTGGGCCACTGCCCTGCCCCCTGGGTTGGAATTCCTGCTTTGCTTGGTCCTTCTGACCCTGACCTAGTTTCTAATTATCCTGGTAAGTCCCACCCCCTCCTTCCAGGCTGACCCTCCCCTAACAGCAGCTCCAGCCTGCCTTCTGAGTCCGTCTGATACTTGTTTTATCTCCTCCACTCTGAATGGTGTAGCTCCACCTCAGGTCCACAGCATGCAGTCCCAGGAGAGCGGTGTCCACTACAGCAGGTGGGACAACAGCAGCCGGGATGAAGTCAGCATGACTGCCATGTCCAGCACCGAGGAGGCCTCATGCTATCGCAGGTAAAACCCCAACAGGCTGTGGCTCCCAGCACTGACCAGCCTTGTCCAACCCCAGCCCCCTGACAACCCACCCAGGTGCTTGTGACTCTGGACCTTACCCGGAGGGAGGGTGGCAGGTAACCCCCCACCTCCAGCAGAGCACTCAGGCTCAAGCTTTTTCCTGATCTAGCCCTCCTTCCACACCCAAGCCCACCCAGGAACTTCCCTGCGGCTCTGGCTTGGGCTCACTGGTGGTTCTCTCTAGGCTCTCCCAGAAACTGTGCTCGGGCAAGCTGGGGATCGCCATGAAGGTGCTGGGTGGAGTGGCTCTCTTCTGGATCGTCTTCATCTTGGGCTATGTCACTGGTTACTACGTGCACAAGTGCAAATAAATGCTGTCCCATTCCTGCCCCCCCCTGGAGATTCCCTCCCACGTACACAGACCATTTGTACAGACAGACACCCCTCCACACACAGACCCCGGGGCATGGGAAGATGCTGGGGTGCACTGCTGGCACAGCTCCCCATCTCCACCACACACGGTGGACCCACAACCCATACCCAGCCCAGGTAGTGCCAGATGCACACACACTAAAGACTAGGCTCAGCTGGAGGGACCTTCCTGATGCTGGGCTCTGCATCCAGGTTGTCCAGATTCCTTTGGCCCATGCTAGGTGGGATATTCTCCAGCCTAGGACCTGCGCCTGCCCCTAGCTGAGGCTGGGGTGAGGGATGCACACCTTCCTGTAGCCTTGAGCAAGGCTCCTGGTCCTCTAGGCTTTCCAGATTCCTGATGGTGCAGGGAGGACCCTGAGTAATGACGTGCCCCCTACCTGTTCTGTTCTGTTTAGGGGGGGACACAGACGGGGCCACATATAGAAGACCTGTTTCTGTGCAGGGCATAGAGGCCTTCTTTGAACCCATCTGCCTCTGCCTCCCAAATGCTGGGATTAAAGACATGGGCCACTTGGCATACAACATTACATTCTTTTAACAAACTAGGCATGTCTTCCATGGCTTACACCTCAGGGATGGCCCCAAGGGAAAATGGAAGCTAGGTGCCCTCCCCACAGGCTCCCACTCCTTAAGGAGCCTGTAGACAAAATCAGTGTTTCTGAAGGAACAGTGCTGCCCAGCCAGGCATGACCCTCCTCCACAGCATTTCCTGTTTCGTTCCCCGTCTTGGAATGTGTCCCTCCTGGCTGGGCCATCTCCCAACAACACACTTAGACCCAAGGGTCAGGCTGTGTCTGGACCTGTCCCTTCTTTCTGGACCATGTGGCTATAGTGGGGACTTTGGTCCCTTCTCCAGTGGCCTACATAGAACTCCCCTGGACCACCCCTCATCCGTGGTGTGCTGTGAAATGGTTCCAGGCTTGCAAGCTGTAAAGTGTGCACCCTGGGCTGAGAAGGGTGGCCAGACAGTTGGTTGGGAAGTCCCCTCCCCTTTGCCCTCACCACACTGACAAGTGGAGGGGCTTGGCCAATCTGGCCTCATCCCAGGGAGCTCCCGGTTTAGACTGTCCTTCAGTGGTCCTTGTGTGGGAGTTGCTCCACCTGGCCTGGGTTTCTGTACTAGAAATCTAGGCCTCAATTCTAAGACACCTCTGCTCCCGCTTGCAGTAAGACAGTGGAATGCTCCCCAACCATGAGCCACTGCAAGACAGCCATTGGGAGGTCCTAGGGAAGGACCCTTCGAGGCCTAGTGTGGCCCAGTCAAGAGCAGGGCAGGGATACGGGGTGCAGTAGGGAGGTGGGAGGTGGGAATTGAGTGTGTTCCATGTCAGAGGCTCCAGCGGGGAGGAAGGGAAGTACCCAGGCTTCTCTGGGAAGTCCTGCATTCCTGGCATGACAGTGGGGGGGTGGGCATCTAGCCACACCCTGCACTCCCAAACGGAGTCCAGTGCTCCCAGCCCACCCTGGCAAGTGTCCCATGTCTTCAGCCTAGTGCTCTCTGGCTAGTATCCTGCAGGGAGCTGCCTCAAGTGACCACAAGGCCATGGGGGGGATTTGGGCTGTGAATGTCTGCTACACTAGAACAGACTGTGGCACTGTCCCCTGGACATGACAGTGGGAAGGCTGCCGGATGCAGAGGAAATGTTGCTACCAAGGGGTTTTATTAGAACAAAGAGGTGTTCTGCTTGTATCTGTAGAAACAGTTCCAAAAATCTCAACACCACACATGGGCTGTGCTGGAGGGAAAAGCAGGGACTGGGGTGGGGTGGGAGAAGATGGGCATGGGGCAGCTCCACCCTTACACACTTCAGTGAAACCACACAGAATAGGTGAGCTCTAGCCATGGCCACTCAAAGGGACCTATGAGCAACTGTGTAGTCACAAGGGGCTGTCTCACGGGGCTCTGAAACACCTACCAGCTTTGTTCAGGACACTGCCATGAAGGGCCCAGAGCCTCACTGGTTCTGACAACTAAAGGCTCTTGCACAGCCTCAAAACAAAAAACCCCAAACCACTGTTGTTTTACAGAAGACAGAAATTATCCTTTGAGGTCAAAGACCACCAAAGAGAAGATGGTGTCACCCGGAAAGGCTGAAGGGCCTGGTTCTCTTCTGCAGCCAGATGGTAAGGCATGGGGGCCACTAAGTCCCTTCTGTACCAAGCACTTTGGCTCCAGGGATGGCAGGAGTGTAATGAGTACGTAAGCCAATGCACGGAGAGATGGATGGTGTACAATGTCACACTGATATGTAAGCCTGTAGGACCATGTGTGTGGCACACCTTCCCATCACTGGCTGATAGTCTACAAACCAGCCTTCCCATCCACTCACAGAAATCTGTCTGACTACATTGGACTGCATGGGCTATGTACTACCTCTGTGGCTAAGGAGTGATTTACCAACAATGACCAGTACTCCCGCTCTGGGCACACTTTTCCGTGGGAGCAGCAGCACCATGCTAGGAAGCAAGCTCTAAAAAGAGTAAGGTACAACATGATGTTCCCAGCTGTCTTTGCACAGGTGTTGTTTAAAAAAAAAAAATGTTAACATGTGGTAGAAAATTAAGTACCGTTCAATAGAATGCCTGCCATTTAACCGGAACTTGCACCTGCACTGTCAAACCAAGCTGGGTGTCCTTCCCAGGATCCCTGCCACATGATCCAGAACATTTCCAGTGGTTATTGGAGTAACCCATGGAAACAGCAGAATCACATTAGTGTTGTGATAACACAGCTCACTTTACAGCAATCACCTAGACAGAAGCAGACACCTTCAAATACCTAGAGAAAAGGAACGAAGAACAACCACACAGACATCTACAGCCATCACACCACCCATGGGAGCCACAAGTGGAGACAGTTATGCAGCCTGGACTATCAGCGAACCACAGTCACATAGGCAGGGATGGTGACCAGGTCGGCCTTGGATGGGTACACCACCTTCAAGCTCCCCTCCAGGTCCACCACTCGGACCTGCTCCACCACCAGGGAGCACTGTCCATCCTTCCCAGATCTCAGATCCAAGTTGGGATCAGAAAGCCCATGGCTGGCACCAGGCTCTGTATCCGAGAGTGTGTCTTCCTCTTTGTTTTCTGAAGTGCTTTTGTTCAGTTCCACCATTTTCTGCAAATGAAAATCACTTTTTAACAGAGAGGAAGTCGGACTGCAGTAACCAAACAGAGCAGCAAGAGGCAGCCATGGTGAGAGATTGCAGAGCTGCCCCTCCCCCTCCCCCAGGGCCACTCACCAGAATGAGGTTGTCCATGATGTCCTTACAGAGCTGCAGGCTAGTGGCACTTGTTACTTCCAAGAACAAGTTGCATGTTGTTTTCTTAATCTTAAGAGTTGGATTTCGGGAGAGAATAGTTATTGGTGTTGGTATACCAGCTGCTCAACGTATTCAGGAGAAAAATCTATAAGCAGAGTTACACAGGGCTGGAGGTGTAGAGTGCTTGCCTTGTGTGCATGAAGCCTTGGACTAGGTCCCCAGCACTGCATACACCTGGTATGGCGGTGCACACCTGTAATCCTAGCATTAGGGAAGCGGAGACAGGAGGATCACAAGTTCATGGTAACTCTTAGCTTCTATATCAACTGAAAGGCCAGCCTGGGCTACATGGAAACCTGCCTCAAAACAAACTAATAACTTGTAGCAAGGGCCACAGACTGGGGGACAGCAATGGTGACCTGGTAGAGGTGGGTGGCACACAGGTGTCAGCAATGCCAGGAAGCAAAGGAAGGGTCCCAGCTCTTTGCATTTCTCTCTCTCACAAGCGGGCACTAGATGGTGGGATGGCCTAGAGGACACGTCCGTGCGTCAGACACTGCCTACCTTCGTCTTCTCACTGTTGGTTATAGGTGGGAAGGAAATCACGTCCCCTTCGGCATCCACAAGACAAGGGTAGTTTTCCTTCCCGTCCAGTAAGTGGAGGTACCTGTGTGGGAGGGAATCCAGATGACAGACGGTATGGTGTGAACTAGCGGTAAAGCCAAGCAGGGGCAAAGCTCTGCAGAGGAACGAGGTGCGACATGGAAGCCCACGGGTGTGGATGTGACGCCGGAGCTGCTTCAGCCCTGCATTTTCATCTGCCCAGAGACCCGGGAGGTGAAGCTGAACAGACAGCCGTGGGTCGACAACACTGACCCTACTCCTGAGAACCTGATGGCCACCTGGAGCAGGACTACCACCCCCAACCCCCCACAATGGAGTTTGGCCCTTTCAGAAGTAATCACTCTCCCTTAGAAGGAAGTCTGCGGAGAGTCCCTCCCCATCTGCTTACACTGAAGTTCTGGCAGGTGTGGGGCTGGCCATGGTACAGTTGTTTTGTAGAGGGTGGTATGCCTAGACCTCTACCTGCCGGATGACTGACCTGTGTAGCCCTGAGACGCTCTGTCGCTTCTTCTGCTTTCTCTGCTCCTCCGCCTCCAGCTGCAGCTGCTTCACCAGCTCCTTGGCCTTGGCTTCTCTCCGCCCCAAGGGCATAATCTGTAGGAACAGAAGCCCATAGCTCATTGTGCTACTGAGGCCACCTGTGAGTGTGAAGGATGCTATATACCTCTCTCTACCTTAATGTCTAGCCGGGGAGCGGGTTGCCAAGCCTCCGAATCTGAAAGCGAGAGACTGAGGCCTATTAAGAAATAAAAGGAGCTTGGGATAAAGATAACCTTTATTAGAAAAACACCAGCCAAACGCAAGCCAGAGCGTGCCAGGGGCAGCAAGGCAGGCCAGAAAGAAGGGGCTCCTATGTGCCTTGCAACCCCTTAAAACCCTATCACGAGTCATCCCGACCTCACCTTGACCACGACCTGACAGGCGTGGTCAGGCACACCTGTAGCCAGCTTCTTGAAGGCGTGGCTTACATTGTCCCCTACAGAGGCCCATCACATGTAACACTGGCTGGCTACGTTTCCAGACAGCCTTCTGGAGAGGGGTGCATAAGAGTCAAAGCTCTGAGCTCATAAATGCCTGTGTTTCTAAAAACACATGACTGCTCAGAAGACCAGTGGAGAGATAGGAATTAGTCGCCTGAGCTGGCTAAGTCAGGCATGCAGCTGGCACCTGAATCCCTTCCTCTGGGTTTCTATGCCAAATCCAAGCTTGGAAATCACAGCCCAGAGCAGCAACCTGGTGATTCAGCTCTCACAACAGGTGTTCTGTAAGTGGGACATAAACCAAAATCTTTAGTTAAAGTTGGTAAGCTAGCTAAGTATGGTGGCACATGCCTTTAACCCCAGTACTTGGTGCAGAGGTTGGTAGATCTCTAGATTCAAGGCCAGTCTGCTCTACACAGAAAGTTCCAGGCCAGACAGGGCTACGGAGTGAGACCCTGTCTCAATAACAGTTGATGAGCACAGCAAGTACCTTCCAAAGCCTCCCTGACGATGGGCATTTGCACGGCTATGCACTGCACCCCAGAGCGAAGGCAGAAATCACACCCTTATGTACTTGCCCAAAAAGTACCAGGTTAAGCTTCCCAGGCCCCACCCCCAGCCTATGAGTCTCCTAAGGAAAAGCGCTGAGCAGCTGGGGCAGAGCAGTTGGCACCTTGAGGTCCTCGGGTGGCCGGGCTGCATACAGCAGGGGCCCACGCACTGCCTGGAGGTCGTGGGTCGCAATGGTTGCTGCTGTCCTCTTCTCACAGAGGTCATCATGGAGCTTGGTCTATAGATGAGAGCACAGTAATGGGCTTCAGGGTTCCTGCTGTCCCAGGAGGAACCTACCTTGAAGCCAGTGGCCTGCAGGACCCTCCCAGCCCACAAGCTCACCATCACAAAGTGCCTCCCTGCCTCCCAACTGTGTCATTAGTTATCTGGTCACCAGCAGCCTCTCTGTCCTCTTTAATCCTAGAGCTTTCATCTCAACCTATAACTCCATCTACGAGACAGACTGCAGGTCCGCTGCTAAGGCTGGAGGCTGGAGGTGGGGCAGTAATGGCTTCCTTCCTGAGCTGCTGAGGGAATTCTCAGACAGCAACTCTGACCTTGCTTGCACAAGGCTGTATTGTCTCTGCTAGGCACAAAATGCAAAGATGTGCTTTTCATCCCACAAGGGAGGCAGGTGCCAGAGGAGAAACCTTAGGGAGTTCCAGTCAGCCAGACTCAGGAACTCCCATGAGAATGTGCTGCTGAGAAGGGACAGTTTCATTCATTCATTCATTTTTGAGGCAGGGCCTCACTGTGCAGTCTTGGTTGGTCTGGAACTTGCTATGTAGACTAGAATGGCCCGGAATCCACAGAGATCTGTCTGCCTCTGCTGGGACTGCAGTGTGAGCTACCATGCTTGATAAGAAGAGACAGCTGTAACATGATCTCATAGAAAACAAGCTGTGCATTTTACTGCAGAAATCAGAATTATCTCACTGGCATCAAACATCATCAATTAATTCATGTCTCAAGTAGGGTAATATGTGAGAGCTATGTGAGGGAGCCAATAGCCCAGGCCCAGCAGATACTTGACAAGGGTGTGCTCTGGAAACAAGGGATCTGCTGGGGATGGGCGATGGACCTTCCATACCTGAGCCAGGGCCTGCTGCACTGCCACTGAAGCAGGGAGACCACCTTGCACCTCCTGCCCCTGACCTGCCTGCTGGCCCCAGTGGGACGTTCAGCATGCAGTCCCCACACCCAGCAGTCAGACTCCCCAGATGTGCCTACTTCATGCAACCCAGAATGCAGCCTCCTCAAATCTGCCTGCTGCATGCATGCCCACCCCAGCGTGCAGCCAAGTCTGTCTGCCATGTATCCACCTCTGGCATGCAATCCCCCATGTCTGCCTACTGAGTGCCCACCTGGCAGTTGAGAAAGCGCCGGAGTACATTTCCTGGCTGCAGGTCCATGCCTCGCACAATGGCCCCCACGACGTATGGGCGTACATCCCTGACCTCCGGGCTTACCCTGATGGTCAGGGGTGTGGGGTTCTCAGAGACGTGCAAGATCTTGAGAATCATCCGGGCTGAGTCTGCTACCTCGTCCTCACCCTCCCCGCTTTCCCGACGCTGCTTCCGCTCCCGCCTCTTCTTTCGGTCCTCCTTCTCGGAGCCCTCTTGACGGCCCTTGCTCCGACCGCCGCGGCCACCAGCACGCAGGTACTCTAGGATGGATTTTGTCTGGCATCCACCCACCATCTTCTCTAGGCGCTTGTCTCGAAGCTTGTTTCCTCGGAAGTTGATCTCTTTGAGCTTAGGGCAGTCTGCCAGTTCAGCAGGGATCTCGGTCAGCTGGTTGTTGGAGAGGTCTAGTGTCTGGAGTGAAAAGGAGAGACGGGATGGATGACCAGGTCTGGGCAGGTGGACAAGTTCTACTGTGGTCCAGGCCCAGGAGCCACAGCCAGGCTACCCCACAAGTTACCTGCAAAGCCCCCCTGTCCCTCATATCCACAGAGCCTCGCCAACTCAATGCATCAGGTCTGCGAACACCACAGCAAACAGACCTGTCAGCAGGCTAGGGGACAGACCAGAACTCTTTCCTGGAATGGCACTCCACCGTTTTTTTGACTTTCATGAACAAAAATAAACACCAGTAAACCCTCTCCCCATACCAAGTATGACATCACTAGTAACACTGCCTCACCACTGTTCCTTTTCCTGTGGGTGGGCTAGAGGGAGGCAGTAGGGCCAGTGTGTCCACACCATACACACACAAAGCCCAGTGATCTGTGGGAAAGAACTTCCTGTTGATATGCTACTGACAGACAAATGCTGTTGTTCCAAATACCATGCAAGAGTGTGCAGCCCTTCAGCCTCCACACAGGTAGGTGTGTGTGTGTGTGTGTGTGTGTGTGTGTGTGTGTGTGTGTGTGTGTTCAACGGCAGGCTGGGTGTCAACAATTCCTTTCCTAGGGAAACATAGACAAATGCCTGCCGTCCCTTATACAGCAACAGTGTTCAATCTGGAGGGACATCAACAGTCAGCAAGCTTATCTGGTCTCCTGCAGCAGTCACAGCTGCTTTGATGAAGATGATGCTACTCTGTCCAGAGGACAGTGTTTACCAAGAACCATCTGTCTGTGCTTCATTGCCAACAGATACCTTGTGCTGTATGCCTGGCTTGGAAGCAGTTTGGACAATCATACATAAACACTTTTCTCAGAAGACAGGCAGTGATGGCACACACCTTTAATCCCAGCACTCGGGAGGAAGAGGCAGATGGATCTCTGTGAGTTCAAAGCCAGCCTGGTCTACAGATTGAGTTACAAGACAGACAGCCAGGATTACACAGAGAAACCCTGTGACACGCCCCCCCCCAAAAAAAAAACCCTTTTCAGGCTTGGTGGGGACTCTGGCTGCCTTGTTCTTTGCTCTTACATCAAGTATCTTTCAGAAGAGCCTGGGAGGTCGACAGTCACCACGGTGTGACACCTCACCTCTGCACTCAATGGTGTGACACCTCACCTCTGCACTCAGGAACCTAGAGCCACACAGGTGCTTGCAGCAAGCACTCAGCCATATGTAGTCTGGTGGCAGCTGAGTCCTTGGAAACGGGCAGATGACAGACAGCACAGGGAAAGGACTGCTACTGAGAGACCCTCTGCTCTGGATGGTGGAGCTTCTTAGTCTCAACTCAGGAAGCAAGGGAGAAGGAATCTGTTTGGCTCAAGCCACCAGGCTGCTTGTGGTGGGAAGACAGCACAGAGGGGCTCCAGACACACAAAGCAGGTCACAGTTACAAAAGCCAAAGGAGAAAAGCATGGAAAAGTGACAGAGGCCCTTCAGAAGGGAGAGGGCAGACATAGCAAGGCCTGCTGGACAGAAGGGCAAGGCTGTCCTGCATATGTCCCTGCAAGGAGTCACCAAGAGCGGTGCTACTGGCAGTGTCCATGATGAAGAGAGAGGCTCTGTGGGCATGCTCCCCCACCGACGAACTTAGAGCCAGGAACTTTCAGCTTTAGGCATTTCTTAGATGTGGGTATTTGTGTGGTGTGATGAGGCATCTCAGGGAGGTACCAGGTTCAAACACAAGGCTCAGCTGCTTCACAGCCTGAAGCAGGCTCGTGAAGTTTTAATGTGTTGACTCTGACTGTGTGACTGGCCCCATCAAAGTTGGGCTGGCATGCCCCACAGTGCAGTCATGTCGGCGCTCAGATGGGTCTGGGGCATTTCAGATCTGTATTCTGTGCCTCGGCCCGCTGGAGGCAGAACACACCCTCAGGACCTAGCAGACTCCCCAGTAAACTACTCTAAAAGAGAACCACTAAGACACTATCAGGAACCAAGTGATGGGTGTGAGCCAGACTCCTCCCGACCCTATGAGGTCATCAGCCCAGAGGAATGGGCCCTCTGGAAGCCTCAGAGACAGGGTGTCGGCCTTGTTTGACTGTCAGTTTGCAACAGTCTATCTGCAGCCCTGTGGGTATGGACATGGGGGCTTCTTTGCTCCCTGAAAGAGTTTTGCTCCAACTACACTGGTATGAAAACACACTTTCTCACATACTGGGCTGAATGAACTGTTCCTGCTTCTCAAGTAGACCATGAAAGGCCTGTCAGGGCCTATAAAAGAGGGGTCCATTTCATCAGATCAGAGAGTTCAAAACTGTCCTTAGACTTATTAAGACTAAGCTTGACTGCTGCAGGATGTTTAGGCCTCGGTAGCAGATATCGTTATCTAAATAACAACAAGTGTATTTATCCAAAAAAAAAAAAAAAAAAAAAAAAAAGTGTATTTACTCTTGACCCTGAAGGCCTGATGGCAGGTGTGGCTACCAAATACCTGGAGGATTTAGGGAAGTAAGTCTGTTTGCCCCTTATATGTGATAATAGAAGTCCTTTGCCATTGTCCCCACTTTTGGTTAGGTACTTAAGGATGTTGCTCCCGACAATATACCGTGTCTCTGTCTTTTGTCTTAACAACGTCTTTAGTTAGCCTTCCTCAATTCACACTCCCCCTTCTCAGGTACGAACCACGGGCTAGTCAGCTAGCTCAGACTGCAGCCCGGCAAAGACAGCTTCCCACAAAGGCCAGCTCCCAGATCTGCTCAGGGTAGCAAAGAGAAGACCTCAGAGTAGCAAGGGCTTAGAGAAAATTCTTATAAGTGAGGGTTGCTAGACTTTTCTATCTGAGGGGAAAAAGTCAACAAGCGTACACTCTCCTGATGGTGACTTTCTTTTTTAGTTCAACTTAATCTCTTTCTTGACAGTCTCTCTGCAGTTAACTATACCTCCACAGCTGCAAATCTCCACATAGCCACAGCTACACATCTCATTTGCATAGCTCTCTCACCACACAGCACTTTACACGGCTCCTAGGTACAGCTCCTCTACGCAGCAGCAGCTCTTTCACCTCTTCTCCCTCTCTCTCTCTCTCTCTCTCTCTCCCTCTCCTTCTCTCCCTCTCTCCCTCTCCTCTCTCTCTGTGCCTAGCTTTTACATCACACACATTCACACACACATTCACTCTGCACACACACTCTGCACACACACACTCACTCTGTGCCTAACTCTTACCCCCCCACACACACACACTGTGCCTAGCTCTTACATAGCTCTACACAGCCGTCTCTCTCTACACCACCCCTGCCATTCCCACAGCCAAACTCTGGACAATTACATGTTATATTTTCAGGGCCTGACCCATTCTCATAACACAAGATAAGTCACATAGTTCCTCTGAGGCTGGGGAGGTCACACCGACCTGCCAGTGAGCAACACTTGGCCCTGCACATGGCTCTAAGTTGGTGAGGATTCCCAGACAGTAAACAATTGGATGAACATTGAGCCTGGGACAGTACGTGCAAAGTCAACTCCTGCAACAAAGCAATGTCTATTGAGGTTGTTTCTATCCTGACCTGGAATCAGCAAAACAACCCCTGGGAAAATGACCTCAAGTATTTGTTTCCAGGGGCAACCAGCCTGCTTTGAATCTTTGTAGAAGGCTGTCTTTGTGCCTGAGAATCCTATGTCAGTCTAGTAATGTAAAATTATCCCAGTATTATTTCTATTCATCGGAATTACACAGTGAAGCAGAAATCATCTTTCTGACTATCCACTGCTATATGTGCACCCAGCATGTAAAACACGCACCACCAAAGGGCTGTGGGAAGAGCCCCGCAGCTATTCTTATTAGGGAGGTGTAGGAGAAAGTTATGGACAGAAAACAATCAATCATTTACAGCCAATAACCACACGGCTTTGGGTCAATTTGTTAAACACTAGTTGTCACTGCTGTACATTTCCACAGCCTCTTGCAGCCAGCAGCTCTTGTCATGCTCCCACTATTAAAATGCAACTTACTGAAGACCTGGGAGAGCAATAAGAGGGGGAGAGGGATGGTGGCAGGGTTTAGTGTCTGGCATGGCCTCAAAAACAGTCATTAGAAGGGCATTTTTCAGGGACACTCCCTGACACAGCCCGAGTACTGGGTGAGTATCGGCCTGGGGCCCTGTGAGGACAGAGGCTAAGATGAAGGAAGAGTCAGGGAGAGACATCTAGTGAGAAAGGTGACGCTCACTCACACATTGAGTCAACTCTCAGTGGCAGCCTTCTCATGGGTGTGGAGCCTGGGTTCCAGCTGTGTTGGACAAGCGCAGATGGGAAGGCTCTGGGGCCCTCCTGTGTGGAAGATAACAACAGCAGGCTGGAGCAGGGCAGGGGTACTAGTGCTAACCTCCCAGAGCCTAGGGGAAGCTGTGCTGGGGTTTCTGGATGCCTTGTAGGGTGTGCTGCACCCCTGATGCCAGAACTCCCAGGGGAACACAAACAACTGAAGCCACCTCTGTGTTAGACACCGGCTAGGAAAGGGACAATATAGTGGGGAGGGAGACACGCAGGGACCAATCACCTCAATCTCAGAGACCACAAAAGTGGCAACGGCTGCTGGGCGAATCTGGGCTTACCAGGTCCTCCAGGTAAATCTGGTTAATTCTGGCTACAGCTGCCATTCAAAGGCTGGGGTAGACTTGTTGACCCCAGATTCTCTTGTCAGAGACAGAGGTTTTAGTCCCTGTGTGAGCTACGGGGAGGGACCGATCCTTGCTCGAGAACAATCTCCATGGAGACATCTTTGACGACTAAGGTGCTGTCCTGTCTACTTCATCAGTCTCAAGTGGAGAGCACAAGTCCCGGCGACAGACAACGCAGAAGCAGGCTGGAGTGATCTCACGCAACCCTCCCTGGCATGATTCCTAAGAGACCACAGAACCCCAGAAGAAGAGAACAGATGTTACTCTAGGTTCACAGGTCTCCCCCAAAGGGAAACCAAGCCACACAGGTCTAAGGCAGAGCAATGAACCCATGTCCCAATAAGTCAC